AAATTCACTTAATCCTCAGACACCTTTTAGTTAAAGAAAATTAAAAAAACACAACATGAAATTAATGGTTGTTTATATTCAAGGACCAACATTATACTTGCTTCGCTTGCCCCATTGTGTTTTCGGTGAAAAATTTTTCTAACGTAATAGTCTTTTTTACTAATTGAATTTTTGCTAAAATCATTTTTTAATTAGTCAGAGATAGGGCTAATTTTGAAAGCAACATTGTAAGCTATTTAATATGCTATTGGCCCATAGTCGAAAATGTATATTTTTTTTAACTTAAGTAGGCTCAGAGAATAAAAACAGGAACGAGCGAAANCGCTAAAATCATTTTTTATTTAGTCAGAGATAGGGCTAATTTTGAAAGCAACATTGTAAGCTATTTAATATGCTATTGGCCCATAGTCGAAAATGTATATTTTTTTTTAACTTAAGTAGGCTCAGAGAATAAAAACAGGAACGAGCGAAATAAGAAGCTAAAAGAAGAAGAAGATTTTTTAATTTAATAATAAAACTAATTGGAATTATTTCGAGTATTTTTCTAGTACTATTATCCCTCAAAATGCCCTTTCTTATGGTTCTATACAATTTTTCCTTCAAAGGTTACGGCCACTTTAGCTGCCGTGTCCTCGAATCTAACATCGCTAAACCAAGCATATGCTTTCTAGCTCATTGCATCATCTCTCCGCCGTCATTCTCAACCCACTAATGAGTTAATTTTTTATTTTTATGTTCACAAATTTTAGGCAATGATATCCTCTATACATACATACATATTTAAATAATATTCTCGTATACGAATGTTATTGCTATTGAAAACCGTTCCAGAGTACTGTTTACTTAATCTAAGTTTAAACTGCCACTGAAAAACTGGCCCTTAGATGTAAGTACTGTGAAAAAAGTAAATGCACAATTACCTACGATCGTTTAGGGGTGTGATACAATGACGGGAGGACTGTCTTCAGGTATGTACCTCAATATATGCAATAGAAGCAAAAAATTTAATACTTTAAAATTTTAAACTTCGAAAAAAAGACAATTTAGATAGCATCGTCCATATAAAAAGTTCATAGATATTTCTTTACTAGTGGTTAACCACTAGTCCATAAATGCATGTGAATAAACAAAGTCCGAATTTTAATGCTGCTCTATACCGAAAAAATATACTTATATTTTTTATTTCCGCACAAAAGTTTTCCTTATATCGTATATGGGTGAAACAATTATTCATACAAATTGTGTAGCATTCTTGATCATTGAATATTTTCCAATCGGAAAACTCTTTTTCACTTTGGAATACTACTAATAATAATACTCAGTTCTTAATTTGACCATTTTTTAATTCGAACGATTTTCTATGAGAGTTTTTGACGTAGAATACGTCTTACGTTTCGATATGGAGGGAGGCTATGCTGAAATGTTGTAGTTGTAATTTTTAGAGCTCCACGAAAACGCTTATTGCACGAGTACTAATGAAGCGATTTCAAAGAAAAGTGTAGCATTTCAAAGATAAAACTCCAAACCTATCGACAAAATTCATTTTTGTAAGTAACGAATTCGGTTTCTGGCGTAAAAAGAACGGTAAACTTTGGCTTATTCTGGAGTAAATTGTGAGCCTATAAAGTGCTCCAGCAGCTTATGATTTGCAAATATAACTTTCATTTTCGGATTCCTTGGAGCAATAGAAATATTATCATGTACGGATTTTATACAAATTGAACAAATATTGAGCATTTTAAGGCGAAAAATTGTTGAAAAAATTCGCAATGTTTTTTATTACCAAAATGCTTGAAAACCCCTTGAATGATTTTGTTTTTTGTTTTCATTAATCAAAAATTCAAGAGTTTTCCTTTCGTTTGGTATATTGGTATTGTTTTATTTGTGGGGAAATCTCTAGTTTTGAACTGGTGCGCTTCTAGTACATTTAGAACGACTACTAGTTCGCGATAAATCTCTTTTGCCTGCAAACAACTGGCGAATTTAACACGGCTGCATTACCTTTTCTATAGTTCAGAACCAGTCCTAAATTCGACATAGTTCGCTTTGCACCCCATTTTCTATAGTTTCGAACCAGTTATAAACGAAAAAAGTAATAAGCTGTTTTCTTTTTGGGTTACCATGGAGCAATTTTTAATTATTTGCAGAGAAATGTATTTTCAATCTGAAATCAAACTTGTTTGAATGAATGTAAATTAAATTGTGCATTTGAAAACACGTTTACATACCTTTGGCAGTAGCTGAATTTGCAGAGGTGCTGACTGTTATTGGTTATATTCCAGAAGGTCCGAAAATGTTAAGATGTTAACACAAATATTAGTTTTGTATTACCAAACTATGAAAATGCATCTGCGACGTGCATAATGAAAGCGTATTTGAACGAAAAACCCGCCAAGCAAAAATCTATTTGAAGTAAACAAGCCCCCCGCTGTATCCCTTTTCCAGTAGTTTCGAACTAGTTCAAAATTCGCCAGATGAGATCTAGTTCGTTCTGCATCCCCTTTTCTATAGTTTTGAACCAGTTCTAAATTTGTCATTTTAGATATAGATTTCTAAAATTGTTTTTTAAAAGTAGTTACTATCGGACTGGTTCGTTTTTGGCGATAAAGATCTAATACGGAACTACAAATTTGGAGGGAAGGAGACAAAAAGTATGTATGTGTGCGTAAGTACATATTTCGGCTTGTGATAAACAGATGGCGCAATATTTACAACCTAATCGTAATGTACATATGTAATTACACGTACATATGTTTATTGCAGTTAATGGGGCTCTGTTTCTATTTTTTAGTAATCTATATATGTCTATATATATTATATATCTACATGCATTTTGAAGAGAAACAACACTTAGAAAATCCAATCCAAGAATAAAAGTAAAGATAGATAAAGAAAAGGATAAAGGCCACGGTAAAAATAAAAACAAAAACGAAGTTGCGTAAAGATAAAGGGAAAAATTAAGACCAAGGTAAATTTAAACACTTTACTTATATATATAAGGGAAAAGGTGAAGGGGAATATGTAGCTGAAGAAAATGATAAACATACAAATAAAAACAAAGATAAGTATAAAGAAAAAAATTAGGATGAGGATACCGATAAAAGTATAGATGAAGATAGAAGAAGATAGATTAAAATAAAGGGAGTTGTAGAGAAAAGGCTATAGATGGAGGCACATAGACCCAATCTGGGAACTATTTCAGGATTTTCGGGATTCTCGGTACTTATCGATATAATAACCGATAGTTTGTCGGTTTCGTTATCGATATTGTTATTGATTTTGCTATCGGTTTTGCTATAGATATTATTATCGATTTTGATATCGATATTTTCATCGATTCTTTTATCGATGTTTTTATCGATTTTGCTATCGATATTATTATCGCTTTTGTTATCGATATTTTTTTAGAGTGTGCTTTCGTTTTCAATTTGGATATGCTCTTAACCATACCACGTATTCTACGTCTAAATTTAGCGGGTGTATCTCCGATACAGCCTGCAGACCAAGACAAAGGCGCTGGATTGTTCCTTTTTTGGGGTTTTTGGGGGACTTATAAAAAATATAGACAGAGGCCGATGTGGTATAGTGTTTAGTAGTTCGCACTTCCATTCCGCATGGCCTGGGTTCCAGCCCAGCCTCCGACTAACATAAAAAAAAAACAAAAAAACGGTGTTTTTAACAGCGGTCGCCCCTAAGCAAGCAAGGACAAAACTCCGCGAGTATTCAACCAAGAAAAACAGCTTCATGTTAAAATACAATCGCCGTTTGGAGTCGCCATAAAACTGTAGGTCACTCACTCCTCTTTGTGTGACAACATAAGGTGGCGAGAGAAATTAATCTCCGAGTTTAATTTTTTGGACCATCCATATTGACCACCGACTGTGAATTTGTTACTTAGGCGATTATCGCTGGTGACCACAGTGTAGTAAATTTTTCGAGTGAATTGAATAGCGTTTGGCTCAAGGGGTTTAAAAATGGAAATAATAATGACATTTTCGTTTCCCCAATTTTTTTATTTTTTTTATTGCCGCCCTCTTAGCGTTTTTGCGTAGAGAGAAATAAGAACCTAAGATATTTCGGCCTTGAGAAAGTTAATGTGAATTTGCAGTAAAATTTCGATACCCCAGCCAACCATAAATTATCCTGGCATACACCAAAACAGTTTGCAATGCAATTACTGCACAGTTCTTAGAGTTACATTTACGTGTAAAGAAATCCGTGTTAATGAGTAAAAACAAAGAGAACCAAATCTGTGATGAAATGCGAAATTAATTTCCTCATTTCTTTGAAAACATTTTAAATCGAAAATAAGCTTAGCCAATTCTGAGTTGAATAAACTAAGGTACTTAAAATGTGCATGATTTTATTGACACATCGTTAATCAGCATTTTGTATACACTTGTGGACTGCGCCGCGCCTCTACTCGCAATATTATTCATGAAAAGTGATTCACAGTGAACAGAGTTAAGAACCGGCACGTACACGGGCATATATGAATGTATGCGTATAACGATTTACATATTAATCCATAAAACAAAAGCGAAGAAAACACTAGTGGATACAAAAAGCTGTAAACAGATGCCCGATAATCAGATCAACGTTGAATAGAAACGTCGAATGAAGAGTTGACGCAATGGCGCGATGATGCACCAGCGAGATGATGAGCTGACATTGTCAACCTACGCGTGCGCGCGTCTGAAATGTACACACATATACAGCTCTGTATGCACTCACATATGTACAACTGGCGCTTTCACCACACATCAAACGCACATAAGTTCATAAATGAATCTGAGGCAAGCAAATTCATATGAAAGAGAATCATAACAATTCGAAATGAGCGCAATGTTGCTGTGTTTGCCGATACCACTGCTCGTGGACCAATTCGAGATAATTATAGCCGCGGATACAGCGCATCATGGAGATCATTCCGTTCAGTCGAGAACAAAGAGTGGCATTGACACGAAGCATTGCCGCATCGCTGCTGTTTCATACAAAAGCCAAAAGGCTGTGCGATATTTAAAAACCGTTGAAGCAACCTTCTTGTGCTCTATTGCAATTCGTAATTTGTATCTTTGTGTCATAAAATGGTGCGCGCGCATAATTTCAATCTAATTTACGGCGTTTTTGTAGTGAAATTTGCTTTCGCCGCCACTGCTGCTGTTGCTACAGAGAACGGTAATGATATAAATGCGCTTTATATGCATCAACTGTTCAACAATATTAATACAAACGTTGATCCATGTGAGGACTTTTATGCCTACGCCTGCGGTAATTGGGCACAAAACTATAACGCTGACGCGTATGTTGATGTGCCTGGTTATATGGACCATAAAGTGAATCAGCAGTTGCTGGACGCATTGCTCGCATCTAAGGCGACAAATGAAAGTGCTGTGGCCCAGCAAGCCTGGCAATACTATGAATCGTGCATGACACTCAAAGCGCCCGCGCTGAATGCATTTCTGCGTTACGTGCAACAGGCATTGCACTTTGAATGGCCCATATTTCGCGCTGATTGGCAGCGACCTTGGCAGAATGCCACACACTTCGATTGGTTGCGGGTAATTGGTGGCTTACGCGCTTATGCGCTGAATGGCGTGTTTATCATGCAACATGTGAATGTACGACTCACCAACGGTACGCACTACTTGCTGGAGTTGCATGCGCAGCAACCGGCGGTGGTAAGGGCGTCGTCGTCACTACCGTTGCGGCACCAGGATGTTGAAGATATATTTATCAATTTCGGTTTGACAGTGGAGGAGGCGCACAATGTAAGCGCCGACGTTATGGCGCTAGAACAGGCCATGAATGATGCAACCAGTGCTTTTGCGTTACTGAATGCCAACACGTTGAATGTAAGCGATACTAATGCGACGCGCGCCAATTTGACCAGCTTGGAGATGAATGTGGCCGATTTAATGGAGTTGGTGCCACAAATTGATTGGCGCAAGTACTTGGAACACGCGCTCGGTCGTGCGGTGGATTTAGAGAAACAGCTAGTGCAAACCTACTCCTACGATTTGCCGTACTTTCGCCAATTGACCAATGTGCTTGCCGCACATTCAAATGAAACAATTGCTTACTATATAATGCTGAAGTTTATGTATCAATTGAGTGCCGATTTGCCAGCCTCCGTGCTCGCTGCGGACAAGTCTACGCATTGTGTACGCCTGCTGCGCGGTTATATGCCATTAGCGGCTAATTACCTTTACGAGGAACATTTTTATAAACATAGGCGTGCCGCGAGTGATGCCGCGCTCCAGCGCATGTATAATAAATTGCGCACCAACTTCGCACAACTGGTCGCTGCCAACACAATGCAGCTGAACGCCAGCGAACGCGCTTACATACTCGACGAGCTGAGCGGCATGCAGCTGCGCATCGGTAATGTGCCTTATGCAGCGGAGAATTTGACACGTTTTGTGGAGAAGTACTATGCGGATGTGCGCATGAATGCAAGCGATTTTTATTTCAATCATATACAGCTGATCCACAGCAATGTGCGACGCATGCAGGCGAAGTTACTGAATTTACCACGCGCGGCTAATGCATCGCAGCTGGTTTACGAGCATGATTTCGAAACGGCAAGCTCTTCTTCACCGGTGAAGATTTTCGATAATGTAGTGCTTGTGCCATATGGATATTTACAGCTACCGCTGTATGATCATCGACTTGATGCGCTGCTGCAGTATTCGCTTTTCGGCTTCATACTTGCGCACGAGATAATGCACGCTTACGATCTGTTTCACATTATTTACGATCATAAAGGTAATTTCAATGCGCTGGGTTTGGATGTGGCGGAGCACTATTGGGATTTCATTAACTGTACGCAACAGACGCAGCTGAATGATGTACTCTCCGAGAATATGGCCGATGTGGCGGGTTTGCGTCTGGCCTACCAAACATATTTCGGTGCAGATGAGGAGGTCGGCGCGGTTTCGGATAAATCACACCACATTGCTGATACTGATGTGGCAAATGAACCAAAGACAGCTACAACGCATTCTGAAAAAGCTAATGCGGAAATTAGTAAGCCACTTGCCTCTGATAATAATGCAATTCCAGGTAATTTGGCAAACGCTACGCCAGATGAGGTCTCATTATCGCTACTGCACGGCAATTTCACACGCCCACAATTGTTTTTCATCAATTCGGTGCAATTTTTGTGTGCTAATATGCCGCGCATTGAGGCGATGGACGTGAAAGTACTGCACCTCGGCCATGATATGCATCATGTGCGAGTGCGGCGTAATTGGGCGAATTTGGAGCATTTTGCGACCGCATTTCAGTGTGCGCGTGATACGCCGATGAATCCGAGCGAAAAATGTCGATGGTGGTGAGCGGTTGAGTGAATGTGCAAGAGCAGAGTATGCGGTCGTCCGCGGTGCGGCATTGGCCCGTTCATAAGCGGATTACAATTTTCTAATTTCAAATGTGTATATGTGTGTGAAAAGAAACGATTTATGTTAATAGCAAATCGTGAACTTATTTTTGTTAAAGTTTTCGCTTTTGACGCGGTTGGAATGCTTGCAAAAAATGTAGCTTACAACTGAATACGTAAACAGTTTATAATTTTTACTCTTGACCGCCTTTAAGTATGTAACAAATTTGTATGCCTTGTTTAAGAACTATTTGTACATTTTATGATAGCGTTTGCAACTTACCGTTTGTGTTGGTTTTTTATTTATGTATGTATTTCCGTAGACCGAATTGTAATTCCAAAGTTATTTCTGAAAATAAATGTAAAGTTTTACAATTAAAAAATTTCTTAAGTTAAGGTTTCGAATATTTAAAGGCAAGTTATATATAATACAACTCTTTGTTCAGTTTTTTTGTAACTTATAGCCTTAAGAAATTTATATAGAAATAGCTAATACACATGCATTCCAAAAATTTTCAGGTTGAAGGGAGAAAAAGTAAGTGCAACGAGAATTTGAGTTTAGTATGTATGTATATAAAATGAACAACATTCGAAAATTTCTACGGCCTCCTTATATATACCATAAAGGCGCACACGACAACTTGGAAGGAAAACTCGCCAAAAACTTGACTTAAATTTGAGCGTAAATAAATTTTTTTTTTATACAATTTACCTTGAAATGTAGAGACATAACCCTAACTTCGAATATTTAGAAATCTTTAATGTTTGCTATTATTCAAAGGATTGCATATTTTCCATCTTCGAAAAGTCTTCCAGTTACATATTATGTGTAGAGTCGGCAAAAAAAACTGATAACGCCATTTCACAGCTTCAGGGTATCTACACTTGGGATTCTAAAACAAACAGTCAGCCACTGGGACCGATGTCCAGGACATATCTACTTAAATTATGGAGTGAACACTTATTCACGATATTAAAAGATAACTATACTGAAACCAGCAGAGGAGATCAGAATAAGAATAAAAAATAAATAAATAAAAATCTTAAATTGGTAGCAACCAATTGTATCAAGCATCCTTGCACACTCAAATGTTGAGTTGGAATCAACACCACATTTCGCTGTGTTTATGTCGTCAGTTCATAAGGATTGCTCTCTCTCTCTCTGAGAGACACCCTTATGCCTAAGACTTATAGGTCATCTAAAATAAGTCTTAAACCATAAACAGACGGATCAACTCGGGAATTAACTGCAGTTGATCCGGATCAAGTCCGAGTTAATCCGGATCAACGCTGCCGTCTGTTCAAGCTTTTACATAAACAATGCAGAAATAACCTCGGAGGCTTGCCATTGCTGCCGAGGGGCGGCCGATGTTAACAAATATCGACGTGATATCGTTTATAAAATGCAGGAATCGAACCAGGCCTAAAAGGCTACCCTGAGGGACTCCTAAAGCAGCATCAATAACGCGAGAAATGGAATTTTTAAACATTACCTTTTGTGCCTATCATCCAGGTATAAAAAAGAGCCAACCGTAGAAAATTAGTTGAAGAAAACAGAGATCAAGTTTATAGATGAGTATACTTTGTCAAATGCTTTACTTTAAAGGTTGCGAACTCAAATAAATTTGTAGCAGTTGATATGCCTTTGGAAAATCCATATTAGCAGTATGCAACGTTAATGGAGATATAATGCGTCAATTGATTTGTAATAATTGCTTCAAATAAATAAGGAATTGCAGCTATGGCCCGACTACTAGATGTATGGACTGAGTTAACTTGACATAGTTTGAATGGGTAGTCAAAATTTACTTGGAAGTTAATGGGACAATTGGAACCGATAAAATTAATTTTCTTCTTGGGTATTCTAAGGGCATATTAAGTGACCCTGGCATGAACATTTTTATGAACCGACAGAGAAAAAAATCGTAGCACATCCTAATGTATGTATCTGATGCACTTGCATACATATTTATTTGTATACGCATGCCTCCCTATTGTACACGTATTACCTTTACTCAGCCGCTAACAGCGCAGCAGGTAAAATGCAAGGAACAATATTTAAACTGCATTCGCATACAGCTATTTACTTGCAAAATTGCATTTAATTCAATCAAGTAAAAAACTTTTCAGACAGTAAGAAATTCAATTCGCCTTAATACATATTCAGCTTCACTAAAAGTTTGAGAGTCAATATGAGAAATTGCACAGCATTTAAATAGAGTAAAATTTATTTTGGTAACTTGACAAATTGCTTGTAGTAATATAAGTTCATAGTTGTAGAATTTTATTTTGAAGTAACGAGGTAAATACGGATAAACTAAACTTTTGGATGTGGAGCGAATCAGCGCCAAAAATGCAGTAGTGCAATTCTTCTGACAAATGCCAAATTATTCTCCCCACAGGTAGGTATATGTATGTATGTATGTATATAGGCACGGATAAACTGCCTGTGGATTTCGCCGCCTAGTTGTCAACTGCAGGTGTGGTATCGCTCTAAAAATCAATAGTTAGCCCCAAAAATGAAGTCATTTCCTTCTCATAGAGAGCTCTCGGGATTTTTGTTGTTGTTTGGGTATTCGCCTCTTAATCGCATATTTCGCTATTCGTTGGCAGTAATGGAAATGTCGTGCGATTAAAAATCAATACTTGGCATATTCCCACGTGACGCAGCAATGCAAAAAACAGCGGTTGACAAGCAACCATTGCACATTGCTACATACTAGTGTTGCCACAATGTTTTTGTATTTGTTACCAAAATTACAAAAAAAAAACAGTTAGCAATTCAATTATTTTTACTCTCTAATTAACGAAACAGCCCGAAAAGCGTGTAGAACAAAGCTAATCTATCAAACTTATTTCTTTTATGGTGCTGGCAACTATCTTAAAAATCACCTCATTCTTTCGAAAGACTTTTGTCAATTCTGGCAACTATCCTTTAAGCTTTTTACTGTCTTTCGAAATAATAATTGAAATGTCTGAAAAAGAGAATCTCTTAGCGTTATGTTGTTCGCCTTTTAGCAATAAGTTCTTTTTAACTCAATTAAATTAAGGATATATATGTATTTTTATTTTTAAATTAATAAATAAAAAAATATATTAAAATAAAAAGAAAATATATATATTTTCCTTGCTTACATAAAAAAATAATAATTTAGGAAAAATATAAAATTAAATAAGAGAAAGATGATTTAATTTTGGATTGATAATAAAAATTGTTTAAATAATTATTTTAATATTTTTTTTTTTTTATGTTGAAAAGGAAAATCTATTTTTTTATTTCATTTGATTTTTAAAATATTTTTTATTTATTATTTTAAAAAGAAAAATACATACAGTGACGAGCAAAACTGTAACATGATGTAACACTTTTTATTTCAGCCACCGCTATCTTTCATAGTTCTAACGACTTTCATACTTTTGTTGTATATTCTTATTGGTACACTCCTACTCCCGCTCTCATAACGATTTGAGGTCAATCCAACAACAATAAAAAAACCTGGAGACAAAAATGTAAGTTAAGGCAAATGTTACAGTTTTGCACTCACTCTCAGTTTTGCATTTTACAGTTATCTTTTGCTTAGTTGGAAGTCAGATGACTTTTTTCTGTATTGTAATTTATTCAAGAAGTGATCACCAATAAATAATATGGTTAATCAGGAAACATAAATGTAAATAATAGATTTACTGCGAAAAGGCGGGACCGCAGGGAAAGTGGCAAAAAATTGTGGAGTTTGCCACATGAAAATGTTAAGACTGAGAAAAAATATAGCCTAAAGTGTTACTAAGGACAAAGAAAGTCTGTCAAAATATATTACAGTCCGATATCTTGTGAACTTAGTAGCAAGTAGCGCTGCAGGCACTACTACAGAAGCGCTTAAGGTATTAAAATTGAATGCAAATCAGTAGATAGTGAGGCGAAAAATTGCCAAATTGCGCAAAATGGATCATAAAAGAAGAAAAAAGCAAATTTGATCAAAATACATGTGCGAGTGTGGCAGCGTTTTGCTGCATCGCACGAAAACCGGACCGTTGCCTATTGGGATATGTTAGGCCTTACAGAATGCAATAAAAAACACATTTTTAAGATTTAATTGAGGGTTATTTGGTCTGACAAGACTAAATTAATAGCTTTCAATCAGATGGCCGGGCATGGTATTGGATCAAAGGGCCAAATTAAGCCTAAGCGCATCATGTAAGGCAAACTGTGAATCACAGTGGTCGGTCAATAATAGTTTGGGGTTGTATTTCAAAAATGTTGTTGATCCGTTTGTACGCATTATGCGTAAGGAACAGTATCTGTTCATATTTTAACAAAATTTGCAAGATGTAGTCGAAAAAATTAGAGTTTCTGCTGAAAAAGCAACCAAAACACACTGCACATGTTCGCAAAGACTGGAACAAAAGCAGAAATTTGCTAATTTGAAATGACCTCCACAATCGGAGGACATGAATCTCATCGAGAATTTGCGAAATCAACTAAAAGCGCATCTTACTAAGTATCCAAGTCAGTCCAATGGAGTACATGAGCGGTGAAATCACACCAAGGATATATGGGAGGCTATACCTCCAGAATGTTTACAGGCATACACATTAGGTATGCCAAATTGCAACCAGGAACTAAATAAAGCAAAAGCATACTGAACATTGTGTTAATAATTCTTTTTTTTTGTGAAAATTGTCAAAAAGTTATTAAAAATATATGAGTGCAAAACTGTAACATATGCCTTAATTTACATTTTTGTCTGCTGGTTTCGTAAATGTTGTTGAATTGACTTCAAATCGTTATGACAGAGGAAGCAAAGATGTACCAATAAAAATATACAACAACCGTATGAAGTAAAAAGTGTTACTCCATGTTACAGTTTTGCTCGTCACTGTATATATTCTTAATTTAATTTAGTTAAAAAAAATAAATTATTGCTAAAAGGCGAACAACATAAATAATTAAAAAAATAATACATTGTTTCTAAAAATTTTATTCAATTAAACTAAAATACATTTTTCTTTTTAAAACAATAATGGATATCTTAAAAAAAAAAAATTCAACATATTTTCTAAAAATTAAATACATCACAAAAATCACCATTTTTCTATTTAAGACAAGAAAATCTAATAATTACAAAAAAAAAATAATGTAAAAAAGAAATGGTAAAAAAATAATTGCCCAAGGTTTCGAAACCCGAAACGGCCTTTTGAAAGTCTTACCAGTGCTTCGCTCACTCGGCCATTGCGACTGTTGGATCGACGCGAGATAGATGACATACAAATGCTTTAACTGAAAATAGTTTTTCACCAAGAGTGGTGAATGAGAGAGCTTCTTTCTAAAACTTTTATATTAGAATAACAAAAGTCGTTGGAACTATCTTGCCAGCTCTC